TCCCCCTCCACACTGAGCCTTCTGCCCTGCACCTCCACACATCCCCAGCCGTCTGCCCTGACCTTAAGTCGCCCCCAACACCCAGCCTTCTGCCCTTCACCCCCACACCCTCCCAGCCCTTTGCCCTGAACCCTCCCCCACGAAACCTTCTGCCCTGCACCTCCACACACCCCCAGCCGTCTGCCCTGAACCCCCCCCCACACCAACCTTTTGTCCTGCGCCTCCACACACCCCCAGCCCTCTGCTCTGACCTTGAGTCGCCCCCCAAGACCCAGCCTTCTGCCCTGCACGTCCACACACCCCAGCCCTCTGCCCTGACCTCGAGTTGCCCCGCTCGGCCCACTGCAGGCCTAGGTGAACAGAACCCCAGGCTGGAAGCGGGGTGAGCAGGCTGACTGCGTAAGAGCAGCATTTCAATTTAATTTTAAATGAAGCTTCTTAAACATTTTGAAAACCTTATTTACTTTACATACAACAATAGTTTAGTTATATAATATAGACTTATAGAGAGAGACCTTCTAAAAAACGTTAACATGTATTACCGGCACGCGAAACCTTAAATTAAAGAGAATAAATGAAGACTCGGCACACCGCTTCTGAAAGGTTGCCTACCCCTGTTCTAGACTGTTTGATGCTACTCGCCATATATCTGGGGGTCTACTGTAGCTATCTATTGTACAAATATTCCTAGTATACCTGCTTACTAAGCTGATCATGGGAGTTGAAAGGAATTTTTTCAAAAAGCTTGTTTCAAAAGAAAGCTGAGTTGGGTTTGCTAATAAACTTCATAGAGGTTTGAAAAGTTTGATATTATTGATTTGAAAAATTAAACAAATAAAACCACCAATTGCAAAATAGTTGCTATGGCTAAAGGCATTCACAAAAATATCAAAGGCCAAATTCTAGACTTCTTTTCTTCTACAAAAGCAGTGCTGATTTGCCCCTGCATTTTGGCCAGCCTGAGAGAACCCACGCCATCCTTTCACATCTGTCTGTGCAGAATACTCATGCCAGGAGCACAAATAATTCAAGAAGTGAAGGATGCATAAGGAATCAGATGGTTCATGCCAAAAAACATGAACTTTGATCTTTTCACCCTACCACACAGAGCACTCCTGGACAGGCTTGTGGGCTATCAGCTCTGTTTGTTTGGTGGGAGCCAGATTGGACACCACTGCTGCATTCTGGAATTCCTTCTTGGTCAGAGCTTTAGAGCCAGAATTTGTCCTAGGCATTTATTAACTCTGTATACCATAAAAAAGGGTTGAAAATACTCATCAGTTACTTGAGAGAATCTTGTAGTTAGTCTGGAATTTCAATGTTAAAGTTACATTTTAATAACAAAATGAAATAAAGCAATGGAAAGTAAGGAAATGTTCAGCTAAGGTAACCCGAGCAGCCTTAATTCTGTCCTATTACTTTCCAATACTCCACTCTATAGACCTCTTGATGAACGACTTTTGAGAGAAGGACTTTATCAGCTATAACTTTAACTTTATCAACAATATCTATTTTATTTGTAGTTAGCCTGTGGAGTTGAGAAGCTCTTCTATACATGGCTTTTTTTATACATATGTGTCATGATCTCTGTCATACTGTGCACCTAGTGTACAATCTTCAATTACAAGGCTTGTCACCTCTCAAAAATCTACTTAAAAATAACAAAGTAAATGTCCAAATGAATGACCAGGGAACTGTAGACTGCAGGTACCATAACATTTTATTCAGATTATTTCTCTGACTTCACAAAACAGTGAACATTATAACTCCTTGTTCTGTACCTTTAGAGGTCTTGTGGGAATTTGGGAGATTTGTGTGTACAACTTATGAATTCTGTGTGAGATTGTGAACTCTGTATCTTTACCAAGATGCAAACTCCATTTTGAATGAGGGAGCTAACTGCCTCTCTGAGGCCTCTTTGCCTCCATATTGGACTAAAATTCCAAAGAGACTCATTAACTAGGGATGTCCCTCTATTCAACTACAAATGTCCTAGACCGGGTGCTCTCCTCCCCTTTACCTCTGCCCCCCCCAACCCCGCCCCGAAGAACTAGGTCTTCAGCCACTTTCACTGACTCTCTCTAAGGCTGGGGTTCTCAAACTTCATTGCACCGCGACCCCCTTCTGACAACAGAAATTACTACACGACCCCCGGAGGAGGGACCGAAGCTTGAGCCTGCCCGAGCCCTGCTGCCCCGGGGGGAGAGGGGGGCAAAGCCTGAGCTACACAGCCCTGAGCTGGGGGAGGGGGGGGGGCAAAGCTTAAGCTACACCACCCTGAGCTGGAGGGCCAAAGCCCAAAGGCTTCAGACCGAAGCAGCAGGCCTGTAACCTGAGCCCCACCAAGCAGGGCTGAAGCCCTCAGGCTTCAGCTTTGACCCCAGGCTGTGGGGCTTGGGCTTTGGCCCCAGGCGGTGGGGTTTGGGCTTTGGCTTTGGGCTCCAGCAAGTCTAAGCCAGCCCTGGTGACCTGTTGCAACCCCCTTTGGAGTCCCGACCCACAGTTTGAGAACTGCTGTTCTAAGGGAAGCTGCTGCCAGAGCCTGATGAGGCAGGGGAGAACATCTGCCTACCTGAACACAGATTACTTCCCCCAAGGATTCCCAATGGATGGATGAGCTAGACTTGAGTGAGGGGCATTACATTTAGGATATTTGTTTTTTTCCCCCCTATATCATCTGTACTCTTTGTATTTCTCATGCGTAAGTAAAGAGCAATAGTGTGCTAGAATCCTATGCAAAGTGTCTGTGCATTTAATGCATTATACCTACCATGTGCCCCTTGAAGAGGTAAACCAGAAGACAGACACTTTCAGGTAGTGTTCTGGGAGATGGCGTGTTTAAGCTATGGCTGGAGTCTGAGGGCTCAGAACTGTTTGGAGGGGCTGGTTAGTGGGCTGAATGGTCTAAATGCTCAGGAGGGGGTGGTAGATAGAGGATCTTCACTCAAGCGTGTTCCTAGAGACCCCCAAGAGTGGGATAATGCCTAAAGTCTAATTTTTAGTTCTGCAAAATTTAATTTGGTTCCTTTTAAAATACCTTTAATCTCTATGTTATAGTCCAGTTAAAAAGAAACCAAACAGTGGTCAAAGTGGTTTTAATATTTGCTGCCTTTGTATTTAAAAAAAGGTTTTGTCTGCAGGCTGGTGAAATGATTGTTCTAGTGTGTGTTTGAGAACTGTACTGTGACCCTTTTTTTGTTCAGTAACAGTGTGCTATTTGTTACAGGATGATGTGATGATGCCACAGAGGGTGAGACTGCAGCATGAAGCTGCCATCCAGCACCCAAATAGTGTGAGTACTACTTTCACTCTCATTTAAAAAACAAAACAAAAACAAAACAAAACAAAAAAACACCATAAAACTGTGTGACCGGATAAATTTATTTAACAGGATGGGAAAACTTCACTGGGCTGGTGGTGGCTAAGCATTCTCAACATACAGTTTTCCTTTAGCTAGAGCCTTGTATGTAATAGTTACTTTGAATTTTTTTCTTATACTTGTTTGCTGTTAGGCAAACCAAACCCGTTTTGTGACAGTAATATACTAGTTTCAAATAGTTTAGAAAGGTTTCTCCAAACCAGTATTAGAATAGAATGTCTTTTAAACTAGAACACTTTTTAATGTCGCACACTATGTAATATGAAAAACTACAAAGGAGCATGTACAACAATGATTTAAACAACTGTGGTTAATGTTTACATGTCCTCAAACAATCGGAATGTAAGGTTTATTATATAAATTGTTGCACAAACCTATAGTTATATTGAAATTTGTTTTTTCCCAATACTGGCTCTAAAATAAAGTAGTCTGTAGAACAACTGTTCTTTATTCCTGTGATATAAAATGTGTTTATTCAGTGAAATTAAGGTTTTATGAACAGTGTTGTTGTTAGAAGCAGAATTTTAAGTATATTTCAATGGTTAGGACCAGCAGTAGAGGGCCATTTGAAGTTCTTATATATGTTCCACTTAGCTTCCTGAAAATGATAAACTTGATGAACATGTTGATGTGTAATATCAATTTTATTTGTCCATATGTGGTTGACATGAAGAATTCTGCCTCTAAAAACTAGTTGTATCTCTGTCAAATTTTTTTGGTAAAAATAGATTTCACAGTGCAATAAACCTCCCAAGAGAAAATGTTAAAGCTTCGAAGGGAGCGTTCAAGGGATTTCTGTAAAGTGAAGGTCAAGTGACTTTATCTGTCAAAAAGGTATTTACTAGAGGAGGTCTGGGAACAAAATAGACATTCTTAAAATTACCACTCTGAGAGTTAATCACCTTTGAACCTTCCCTCCCAAACACACACAGTCCAGAATAGAGAGCATTGTGGTTCTTTCAGTTAAGGAATGTCTGCTAAACAACCTGTTGTTCAGTGCTGGGATGTGCACCTGCTCTTCTCCACACCTGTGTGTTCCAAAGCTTCATGCTGTTAGCTTTCTTGTGAAATATGATATTCCTTTCTATATAATTTATATGATTGGTGGGACTACTATTGAGTAGTAGTTTGTACTTGAATAGAGATAAGTGGAAGATTGTGTGGGGGATTTGTGTTCTGATATGTAGAAATCAATATAATTTTATATTAAGATACCAGAAATTGAAAGATAAGTGGCACCTGTAAATTTGTTCCGGGCAAAGACTTATGAGAACTGTCCTGATCCTCTACTGAATAGACTTGTGCGTGTTTAGACATTGATCTTTATTAGCATGATTACTGCTAAATAGTAGCTTGTAACCTAACTGTTTTTATAGTCACAACACAAATTAGGAAAACAAGTCACATCAAGAAAAATCAGTGTCTGAAAGCATCAAAGTCTCTAGAGTAGGGAGGTGCAACAGGGCTCAAAAATGAGTTGGGACAGAAGAGACCGGGCTTCTCATTTCTGGTCCTTTCCACTTCCCAGCCACTTGCTCTCAGGGATTAGTATCTAGCAAGTAGACTCTGCTCTCCCTCACCTGAGGCTGGAGTACAATCTGGACAGGGGAGTAAAAGGGCTTTGCTCTCCAGTGTTTCCACGGCTGAGCAAGGGCTTTTAATATGTGCCAATGTCAGTCATAGCCTGTCTTTGTAGCACAGTTACTTGCCTTTTCTCAGATGTGTGTATGGTATATTTGACATTACTTATCAGGTGGCAAAATTGAATATATTGTTATCATTTTTACTTCCTCAGCAAGGTTTGCAAAGTATTTTCCAGCTCTAAAAGCAAAAATTTGCCTAATACTGTAGTTTGGATTTAGATCAAAAGTTGTAATGCCTAAAGCCATTTTTATACAATATTATTTCACTCTATGAATGTGAGTGAACTCCAGCTTGATTGGTTATATGCATCTTTGACGATTGATGTAACCTTCAAGTAGCTAGTGGATTGGGTGAATTAGAGTAATGCATTAGTTCATAGTACTGTTCATTTACCTCTGGGAAAACAGTTCATTTGATGCTTGAACAATATTTGTTTATAGAACAGAGTTGTCTGAGTTTAATTCCTTCAGGCATGAGTCCACACTGCAACATTACCATGCACAATTTGGCAAAGCATCTTTGTTCAAAAGGGGCCCACTAACAACTGAGCTCAAAAGTGAATTATTGTTTTTTATTCAGTGTTGGCAAGTTTCAATGCATACATTTCTTCCTAATAGAAAATCTAGTGTGTAGTAGATAAATGTGTGTTCATGTTTTGCTCTGTCTAATTTTGCTTGTCTGGACCTGTTGTGTAATAGTGATATATGTCAGTAAGGATGGGATTGGCACAAAGGAAAGATTTTTTTTCATGACCTTGGATGTGCCCTCACCTACTCCTTAGTCAGCAGTGTGCGTAGTAGTTTGAATAATCCATGGCTGATTTAAAGCGTCTCTCTCGCCTACTGCAGCAACTTTTTCATTCCTTATCTGTGGGTAGAATTACTGGATTCCATTGCTGCTGATGTTGATCAGTTGAGCATTGTAAAGGATGTTCACACTGCAGGAGAACCTCCATCTGGCTAGTTGTGGCGTAGCATCTCTCTCCCCCCGCGTGGCACCATATGCTGATGCTTGCTCTGTTGCTGCCGTGGTGTCTCTCCCTGTAACTTGGCCTTCTCACCAGGCAAGATTTAGTTGCCCCTTTCAAGATAACAGAAACCCAACATAAGACAGTCAGATTTCTTCAGACTCCCCATCTCCAGGCCCCTGGTCCTCACACCCTTGCCTTAGGGCTTTCCAATGTCCTTGTACCATTCTCTGGACTCAGGCCACCTTCGCAGTGTCTGGTAGGGGAACCTGGGCCCATACACTACACCAGATTTCAGCCCAGGGAACCTATAACCAGCAGCCAAGGTCCGCACAGTCCTTCTCCTTGCTGCTGTTTCCCTTGGCTCCTTCTTACCCAATCTTTCTCAGGCTTGCCCTTTCAAGCTTCTTAAGTTCCCTTTACTCTGTTCCTCCACAGAACATCTTCCAGGTCTCTCTGTCCTTGGCAGTCCAAATCCTTCCCTTCTTTCAGGGCACACCACAAGGCCTGCTGCACCCCTGTAGCTGCTTTATGTTTCCCTGGCAGTTTGCCAGCTTCTCCAGTCAAGGTAGGGTCCCAGAGCTTATTCGTCCCGTTGGGTTTCCTCCTCACCACCTCTCTGTTCCCAGCGAGTGACTGCAGACACTCTCCCTGCAGCCCCTCTTCTGCTACAAACTTTGTCTCTTTATACTAACCAGCCTGTTCCTGCCCAGCTGAGCTTCATTGTCAGTTAAGCCTGGCTGTGACTCCAGGTGCAGCCAGGTAACATAATTGGCCTCTCAGGCCCACATTAACTCATTCAGGGCCTTTGTGGGGTACACACCCCTCACAAGTATCCATTAAATTAATTTGACCCCACACCTGAGATTTCAAGTGAGAACTGAGGGTGAGTGAATGAAGGCAGGAAGGAAAGAGTATAAGAAGCTAACTGAATGCTGCTTCTTTGGAGATAATTAATATTAGAGCAACTTAGTGATGTGCCAGTAGATATTAACATAAGTTAGCATTTAAAAGCCCAACTTTCAATCTGGATACAGTAGAACTTTGTTTAACTGAGCCTCCATTATCCAGCTCTCCATATTAACTGAACCACCAGCCGCCCAGGGCTGACAGCAGCGGGGGCTCCCACTGAAAGTGAGAACCCAGCCACCCATTTTTCGGTTTATCCAGATTTTTGGTTATCAGATCTGACCCTGATCCCAATTAGATCAGATAATCGGGGTTCCACTGTATTTATATGACGCTCATCACTGTAGGAACTGATCTCATCTAATTGCTTAAAATATGATGGTGTTTTCTTCCTCCTTTCCCTGCCTCTAGAAGCAGGATTAGGGTTTTTATATTTTATTTTATAATTAATGAATTTATGAGAATGAGGATACTATTGTGCGAAATACAGGGCAAACAGGTGGGGTTTACATTTTGTCCTGAATGCAGCAATATTAAGGGTCATTCTTATTCATTTGGCAGTGAGTTCCATATTCTTGATGCAGCTCTTGTGCAGGTTCTGTCTTCTGCAAACACAAACCTATTCCTTTTGGTTGGCAACATCATCATTCTAGTGAAACTCAGCTGTTGTGGGGGGACATGGTCATGGATGGAGAGATGTGCTCTCAGATAGCCAGGATCAATTCTATGCAAGGTTTTGAAAATCAGAACAGTGATTTTGAACTGTGTACAGTGGGGAGCCAATCCAGAGAATGGTTTGTTAGAGTCATGTGTTCCTGCTGAATAGTCAAGCTGCTGCATTCTGAACAAGCTGGAACTGTCCCAGGGCATGTAGTTTGCTTTCCAGATATAGAGCAGTGACTCTCAACCTTTGCTTTACTGTGACTGCATGTTACAGTAGAAAAAAATTTCAATATCTCCCTGCCATAGTTTCAAGACCCTGTTCCCAATAGGCATGTAAAGAAAGGGAATGAGGCCTTTTCTTTACTATGATCGCATGGTACAATAGAAAAAAGTTCCAGTACCTCCCTGACAGAGTTTCAAGACCCTGTTCCTACTAGCCAAATAAAGAAAAGGAGGGACGTTGCAATCCGTAGGCTGAGATCCATGATATCAAGAATTGCATTAGTTCAGCCCAGATGTTACAAATGTGTGAATCACTGTGGTCAGGTCTGCGTTCAATAGGCACCATTTTCTGGCCAGTCACAGATGGGTTGTTAGTGTCTTGCTGCATTAGCTACTTGGTTATCCTAGTACCATGCTGAGTCAGGGGGGAAACCCAGGCTGTGACCAATATTACAGAGGAAATCTTTGATAAAAGTGATTGTTATGGAGGGGAAGAGTTCATCAAACC